CTCCCGCCGGCGGTGCGGAGCGCAGGCGGAGGTACATGGCCCCGACGGGAGGCGGCTGCCTGCGCCCGGAGCTCGGCTCCCTGCCTGAGCACGGCGGCTGCGCCTAGGCCCGCGCGCACTCGCCCCTCCGGCCGCGGCGCGCGGACATGACCGCGTAGCCTTCCCCTGGGCTGGGATCTGCCTGAAGATTTTCTTCATGGAAGCGATGTCTCCTCAGCAGGAGACTCTGGGGGCGCAGCCGGGGCGCTCCTGTTCCCTGACAGGAGTGTCTCGGATCGCGGGAGACACCGGCACCAAGAAGGTGAGGTCGTTGGGCTGGGGCCCCGAGCCCGCCGCCGCAGCCCCCGCGTCCGCGCGCGCCCTCTGCGCCAGCCGCTGCGACGCGCCGAGCGAGCGCCCCGGGGGCTTCCTGCCCGCGGCCCGCGGCCCGCGCCGTTCGTTCGAGGACATCCCCGCGTTCTCCCGCCCCTGACGACCGGCGCGCAGCCGTCTCCCGCGCGGCTCGGGGTACATCCCGAGTTATTCTGAGTTCTTCCTATTTAGAGTTTTATTTCTTCTCGGGAAAGACCCCGCAGCCTCCCGCCCGGCCTCCACCCGCCGCGCGGCCGGCCGGCTTCTCCCTCGGGGCGGTGGGGACCGCCTTCCCCGTCCGTCCGTCCGTGTGGTCAGCCCGCGGGTCCCCGTGGCCGGTCAGCTCCGGAGCCGGCAGGGCCGGCGGCGTCTGGCCCCGAGGAAGGCGGGCGGCGGGACGGCGGCGTCCGCGGGCTCAGCCCTCACCTGGCCGGCCCGGGGCGGCGGCAGCTGCAGGTAATTGTGGGGCGGGGGGTTCCCGAGCCCGGCCCTCGAGCTGGAAGGGCTGGTCGGGGACGCGAACCGTCGTCACACGGGGACCTGGAGGTTTGGAGGGCTGTGGCGAGGGTCGCGGCTGGCGGCCCGGCCCTGCTCTCGTCCCCTGGCCCTGGGGACTCCGGCGGCTGGAGGGGGGACCGGGTGTCGGCGCGGGGTGGGGGCGGCGCGTGTCCCGGGTCAAAGCCGGAGGAGGGACGCGGACGGCAACTTGTAGCGCCAGGTCGGGAACGCGGAGCCGCGGAGCCCCGGGTCGGTTCCCCGCAGGGTTCCCTGTGCGAGTGCGCGCGGGCCGCGAGCTCCCTGCTCCCTCCGGAATCGATTCTGGGGTGTCTAGCCCTGTCCGCCACCTTCCCACCCCCAGCCTAAGTCATTCCGCTAGTTGACCGTTTTTCCCCTTGTAATAGTGGTTCCCTTTCAGCTTCTCTGGAAACCAGTTGCGATTAGAGGGATCACTAGCTCTTCCTTAGGAAATATCTCAAGGGGCTGTGTTTATTGTACCCTTGGCGACTAACGGCTCCTGCAGACTCCCTGTTTGTCCTGATTTTACTGCTTTTCCTAAATCTTCCCGCCGGGATCCTAAATGTTGGCTAGCAGGCAGCTGAAGAGAGGGGAGATCCGTGTGCCTGGTGTGGGAGTGTCTGTGCGCTTCCTGGACCTTGAGTGTGGCACAGCCATCGGTGTCCCTGAACTTGATGATGTGTGGGCTGTGGTGCCGGCTCATCATATGATGGATTGAGGCTGCGGTCTGTCCTTGTCGCTTTTCCCCTTCAGAGATGGAGGGTGTGGGGGTGTGTGTGTGTGTGTTCAAATCATCCCAATTAAAACGTGAATTTGTCAGATTAGCACGACATTTGGGATGGTAAATGAATGTTTGGTAATTGACATTAGATTTTTTAAAGCTTAAAATTTTTATTTTGTTGGCTTAAGGAATTAAAAAAAATCAGAGATTTATTTTCCTGAACAGCTTCTTTCTCTTCTTCTTAGGGTAATTAAGCATGCCGACAAAGGAGGAGCGCACTAAAGAGCAGTTTTATCATTTATAGAGCAGTACGTGTCCGGGAAATAAAGGACAATGTAGGTAGTGGCTGTTTCCCCCAATCTTTATATTCAGCATAGCCATTGTCCCTAAGATTCTTTCCTTCATTATGAAACATAAGTTCACACATTATTACACCAGTACCTCCTTTCCCAGTATTGTTGGGACACTGTGAAATTGAGTGGATAATGACCTATAATGCGTACTTCAATACATGTTAGCACTTATTACTGTTTGCTGTTCCCCCATATTTGTAATTCATACCATTGTGTCCCAGTTGTTTAATCCAAAACTCCTCATTTTCTCACTCTGCAACAGGCAGTCCATAAGGGAAGCTACTGTCACTCCAACATTATCTTGAATTTCTGCACTTCATCTCCACTGCTGTCACTGTTGTTCAAACAAAGCTGCCACCTTCTCTCACTTATACCTTTCAGTAAACTCCTTAAGTCGTCTAACACCTTTCTTCCCCTTCTGTGACCCAGTCTCCAGTTAGCAGCACCAGAATAATCCTGAAAAATGTAAATCGATCATGTTGCTCACCTGCTTAAAATCCTGTCTTAGCTTTCCATCACATTGATGATAAAATTCAGACTGCCCTGTCTACTTCTCCCACCCCAGCTACCTTTTCCTTTTTGTTCTGTATTCTTCAGGCGTGTGGGCCGCCTTTGTCACGGAAGTCATCAGATCATTCCTACTTTGAGGCTTTGGTGTTGCCCTTTGCTTCTACCCCAGATCTTTGCACTGTTGACACTCTTACAGTACTGATCTTAGATCCTCCCGGAGACTTGTCCTGACTCCCCAAGTGGAAATCACCCCTCAGTCATACTCTTTACCTTATGTGTTGTTGGCATCTCGGCATTCATCCTTTTCTGGTATTTTCTCATTTACTGTTTGTCTTTTGTTACCCACATCCTTCACCAAATTGTGGAAAGCGTGAGAATAGGGATCTTATCTACATTGTTCAAGGCTGCCTCCCCAGGACCTAAAATAGTGCTTACCACATGTTAGGTGTTCAGTAAATCTTAGTTGGCTATGTACAACAGTGAACAGGACAGGCATAGCACCTCTCATCAGAATGTATGATTTAGAGCAGGACTGGCAAACTTTTTCTTAAAGGAATGGATGGTAAATTAGGTTTGTAGGTCATTAGTCTCTGCTGCAGCTAGTCAGGTCTTCCATTGTAGCGCTAAAGTGGCCATGGGTGATACAGACACAGGTGTGTTGAAATAGATAAATAGACACAGGTGTGTTGAAATAAAACTTTATTTAGAAAGACAAGTGGTAGGTCCCTGTTATGTAGACCCCTGACCCTGGTCTAGAGTAGTGCTGTTGAGTAGAACTTTATGCAATAATGGAACTGTTCTTTATCTAGAGTTTCCAATTCAGTAGCCACTACCTACATTCAGCTACTGAGCTCTTGTAAAGTGGCTGGTACAACTGAGAAACTAATTTCTTTTCTTTTTTTTTTTTCTGAGACAGGGTCTCACTCTGTTTTCTGAGCTGGACTTTAGTGATACCATCTTATCACTGCAACCTCAAACTCCTGGGTTCCAGCATCTGCCTACCTCAACCTCCCAAGTAACTGGGCCTACAGGCATGCACCACCATGCCATATTCATTTATTTAACTTTAGTAGAGGCAAGGTCTTACTGTGTTGCTCAAGCAGGTCTCTAAATCCTGGGTTCAAGTGATCCTCCCACCTGGACCTCCCAAAGTGCTAAGATTATAGGTGTGAGCCACTGCACCTACCCCCTCAATTTTTTTAACAGCTTCATTGCCCAATAATTGACATATAATAAACTGCACATACTTCAAGTTAATAAATCTTTAAGTTTTGACGTGTGTGTATGTGCATACACACCCCCAACCCCATGAAACCATCTTTGTAATCAAAGTAATGAACATGTTCATCATTCCTTAAAGTTTTTTCATGTCTGTTTGTATTCTATTCATTCTTTCCCTATTCCCAGGCAACCACTGGTCTTTCACCATAGGTTAATTTTCATCTTCCAGAATTTTAACCCCATGAATTTATACAAATAAAGAATGAATGAGGAAAAAAAAGAACTTTATATAATCATACTTAATATTATTTTTTGTCTGGCTTGTTTAAGTCAATATAATTATTTTGAGATTCACCTGTTTTGAATTATCCATTCACCTATTAATGACCATTTGGATTATGTCCAGTTTCAGGCTGTTACAAATAAAGCTCCTCTGGATATTTATGTAGAGGTCTTTGCATGGACATCAGCTTTCATTTCTTTGGGGTAAATCCTTAGGTATGGAACAGCTGGTTCACACTTTAGGTATATATTTAATTTTTTAAGAAACTGTCCAATTTTTTTTCCAAAGGCATTTTATATTCTCCCTGGAAATCTATCAGTCTGATGTGTCCCCATTTTCACCAACACTTCTTATAATCTGTCTTTTTATTTTGTCATTCTAGAGAATATAAAGTGGTACCTAATGGTTTGGATTTGCATTTCCTTAATGACTAATGACATTGAGCATCGTATGTTCTCATTTGTCATTCACATGTTGTCTCAGATGAAGTACCTATTCAGATATTTTCCACAGTTTTAATTGGCTTGTTAGCTTTCTTCTTATTGAGTTTTGAGATTACCTATATAGTCTAGGTTTCAGAATATTATCAGATGTGTGATTTGCCAGTGTTTTCTTTTAGTCTGTGACCTGTCTTTTTGCTTTCTTCACAAGGTCTTTTGAAGAACAGTTCTTAATTTTGGTAAGATCCAAATGGACAATTTTTCCTTTAATTGTATTGATTATAATTCATTGGAGTTTAAATTTAAGTAGCCACATGTGTCTAGTTGTTGCAACATTAGCCAGCACGGGTCAGAGGAAGAGATAAAGCCAGCAACAAAAGAATGGTGATATTAAAGAAACAAACCTGACCCAGATTTAGACAAACAAGGCTGTTGAGCTGAACCACTCCATACTAAGATGTTGAGGGAATGCGTCTTTTAAGTGACTCTTAACTCTTTCGTGGGTGAAAAGAGTATCCTATTAAAAGATTCCAGGAAGTGGCAGCATTAAGTTCAAAGGTCCTGAGGTAGGTGTGTTGGAGGAGTTAGTTTGTAGATGCTGTGTAAGAAGTTGGTCTCTTTATTTTATTATTCTGACATGAAGAAGAACAGCTTTGCTGGATCACTTTATTTGCTAGCCAGAAGATCTGACCATTTCCAAAACCAAATTCATCGTCAGAGGACAAAGATTTTTCTATCACTGAGGCTCTTCAAAAGAATATACAATAAATGTGGATAGCAATCCATAAAAATAGGGATCTAAAATATAATAGCATATATTTAAAGCATAGACAAAGCCTTAAATTCTTTTGGAATAGTGCATCCTTGAGGATATCTATATTTGCACCAAATCTTAATTAAATGGAA